TATCAGGATGCCTCTTGAGAATTTGCTGGAAGAAAAAGCAAATTATTAATAACCCTGCAGAATTGAAGGTATGAAAGGGGTTAAACGTTTATACTGAACCAGAGCGTATGTGGTTATGGATCTGAAGTCCCAGCTGACAGCGAGTTTTCTGCCATCTCTATCTTAATGCTCATCAGGACTGCACCCCCTATTTTAGCATTGTTTGCCAGTTTGTACTTGCCGGCCTCCTTACGGAAAGTATCCTAAGCCACGTGAGATAGGTGGGTGATAAAATGCTTAGTAGCAACCAGCTGGTAATGGGAGTAAGGATTGTGGGAATGCTGCTTCCTTCCCACTTCCGAGAACTGCACCAAAGCACAAGAACCTCTATCACATGTGAACTGCACTCTAGACCGCTTCAGGCAAGGGCTGGGAAGCTTTGTTCTGGTTGCAGTAGGAAATTCCAGTCGAAACCAGGACTGGGTTGGCCTCATTAGAGCAGGACACAGGCAGCAAAACATCTCCTTTCCCAAGATTCCTTTCTTGTTGCTGAGGTGAGTATTGGGGTCTGCTATTTAATGCATCCAGCCACGTTTTGTGGTCCAGTAACTGCGCTATCTCCTCCTGCAGCCTGCTTCAGTGGTGCCTTGTGCTCTCTTCTCATTTTTCTCTCTGAAGTTTTCTCTCGGCTGCTGCTCAGCACTTTGATGCAGTTAAACCTGTACATATTTGCCGATACTACCATTTTATTACATTTTAAGCTGAAAAGAATTTGCAGGGAGATTTTTCAGGCATGTAGAGACACCCCCCATGAAATAGTAGTTGGTGGAATCTAAACTGATGTTTATCAAATTCTTAGTAATTACATTGCAGGGGGGGGTGGGGTGTGTCAGCATATTTTTTTTTTATTGAAGTGTTTTTAAAAATAATTTTAAAACAGCTAGAAATAAGAAATTAGCAACTGACAGTCTTAACACACAGCTGATGAGCTTTCCTGCCCGCGCCGTTAAATGCCAGGTAGCACTTTCCATCGCTAAGCCCGAGTTGTGCTGGAGTAGACTGGGCCAGGGAAGGTTGCTGTCTGAGAGCTCTTCGGGCTCTTCGAAGTGTAAGCTCTTTTATTTTCTGTGATAGCATTTCCACGTGACTAGGCAACGCTGTCGCTGTTCGCCTAAGCAGATCCCTTTGGCGATAACGCCAATACTCAGATCAAAACTGGAACGAGACAAGGAGATGGCTCCTCGCAGCGGGGTGTTGGTCTGTGTTGTGTTTTCCAAATGCCATCGGAAGACTTGAACCTTCCAAGCCAGCATTTTGGCTTTGAGACTAAAATAACGCACAGGAAAGTCTATATGCTGCTGGAAATCTTCCTGACTGCATTAGATCTTCCTTATCAATCTAAGCCTGCATTTGGAATTGTGCCCTGAACTCCCAGGCTTGCGTTCAGTGTTGCTCCGTTTCATGCTTGTTTTGGGTGCGAGGCACAGAACGTCTATCGAGCTGGCTGGTGACTGTTTTCACTGGAAAGCAGTAAATCAGTGGAACATGGAGTCAGTTTATAGAGAACTGTAGCCGTTTGCGTATTTAATAATTTGCAAATCTTGAAATGCAAGTGACTTAATGCCCCGGGAAGGAAAAAAGTATGGGAAGAGGAGGAAGAAAATAGGAAACGTTTCATTCTGAGATATCGCCGAGAGGAAAGCTGATTTTATTACTGGATGTCAGTCAGTCAAGGACTCCCTGAAGTTAAAATGGGTTAGTCTAGATTCGCCAGCCTAGGGTTCATTTTGCTCTCCCCCACCCCTCTGCAGTAATGGGTTGTCTCTTGCAAACGAGCAGACGGATGTCGTTAACCTTTTCTGTCGGAAGAGGAGGGCCCCCTGCACGCTGCCCTCTCTGTACCTGCCTTTCGTGGTTGCTTGTGACTTCTTGTATGGAAGAACTGTGAGAGAAGGGGGCCTTGTGCTGTGCTGCTGCAGTGCCTGCCCAGCACCCACTTCTGAAATTATCTGGGTTACGAGGATGCTGTTACCACCAGCAGACAAAGGCAAAGAGTTTGTGTACTTTAAAGTACTAAAATGCTTCCTGTTCGCCTGTTGGCACCCCTGTGTTCCAAGAGCGTGATACAAGATGGGGAAGAGACTGTAAAGCTTTGCCTAGAAAGGGAAATGAGGTGAGAAGGTTTTGCTGAGCAAGATGCGTAAGGGAAGGCGAAAGACCACTATTGCTAAACAAGCCCATGTGGGATCATGGCACAGCAATGCAGGTATGGGGGTCAGCGGTGGGGTGGAGGCTCCCCAACCTGGTCATTAAAACAGGAAACAGGAAGCTAAGGGCCCTCACCTCAACGCCAGATTTAATCTGTGGCCTTGAGCAAATCACTTCACCTTGATCTACCTCTGCTCCCACTCTCTTCCTCGTGGGAGGGAGGCTTGGGCACCTCATGGGTTCAGATGTTAAAGCGCTGTATTGGTGCATGGATGAATACAGATGCAGTGCCCACTGAAACCAGAAATGGGTGCTGAGTTGACCCTACTTGTCTATATCGTCTTTTAAATTCTACATTTACAAACCCCACAGGAGTTGGGAAAAGAAAATCATCCTTAGTACTCTGTTACAGTTGAGGAGTGCTCAGGCGTATTAGAGAAAGCGTATTTCTTTCTAAATTGAAATAAGCTTCCAGCTTTTGTTGAGGATGTGTGAAATTTTATTTCTGCCTCAGAACTAGCTTCGTGCTCGTGCCTTCAGCGCATCGCACTGGTGTGCTTTATTTCCTCACTGCTTAGAGAAAACACCCAGCGTTGATAGTTGTTTGTGTGGCGTTGCTCGTAGACGCTGGGAAAGGGTGGTATGTGAGAAAAAGGCTATTTATAGAACAAGCAGCTCCTTTGTTGGGAAGCGTCGCTCCGTGTATGGTTTACATCAGGATGAGTGTAGGAGGAGGAAAGGCGATTGCCAAAGCGTGGGGAGTTGCCCTCTGCAGTGAGCAACGCAGACCCCGCTGAGCGCCTTGCGCCGTGGCTGCCCGGGAGCCCGGCTGGTGCGGGAGATGAGAACAGAATCCTTGCCAGGCAAACGGAGTACATTTAAGCACAGCTGATGGAGAACATCTGTCGGGGCTCTGCTTTTGCAGTGCACAGCTTGGGTTTTAATGTAATGAAATCGCTGGCATAGAATCATAGAATGTTTTGGGTTGGAAGGGACCCCTAGAGGTCATAAAGCTTATGTATTTTATAGAAAGAGTTAATTTCGTCTCTCCCCCAAAGGCTTTGTTCAAAGACACTTGACAACAAGTGGGCACCCCGTCCTGGTTTGCTCAGCACACGTGAGGGTTCAGAGCGATCCCTGCTTCCCTCAGCCTCCCAGCTATCATTCTGCTGATCCGGTACAGAAAAGCCCCTCCGCTGCCCAGGGAGGTGGTCGAGTCCCCATCCCTGGGGGTATTTAAAAGAAGGGTAGATGAGGTGGTTAAGACATGGTTTATAGAATCATGGAATGTTTTGGGTGGGAAGGGACCCCTAGAGGTCACCCGGCCCAACCCCCCTGCAGGAGCAGGGACACCTTGAACCACATCAGGTTGCTCACAGCCCCGTCCAACCTGGCCTGGAATGTTCCCAGGGATGGGGCCTCCACCCCCTCTCTGGGCAACCTGTTCCAGTGTTTTACCACCCTCATTGTAAAGTTTAGTGGTGGGATGGCAGTGCTAGGTTAATGGTTGGACTTGATGATCTTAAAGGTCTTTTCCAACCTATACAATTCTATGATTCTATGACAGTCTCAATAATATAAAACGTCTTGGGCTTTTAGAATGAAAACTGTACTTCCAAGAATGTTTTTAATCAAGGATTGTTTACATTGCATGACAGAAGTGGTACCTCACTGCTGTAGAGGTACTGTGAGCATCCTGAGTGCATGAATGGTGAGGATTTAGTAACTCATGTACTGCTAGGGGCTGGTGGCCATGTGTAGGACCATTGGAATGGAAACGATGATGCCACTGCTTAGTGGGTCACATAAGCAGCCTCTCACCTCATTCTTACCGGGCATTTGTGACCGCGTGGATGGCCTCCAACATAACCGCTTCTATATAGAGGGATGTGTATGTGTCTCTTTAAGTAGAATATGTGTGCATAGTGTTCTTTTGTATAGTGTTCTCTCTCTGATATGATGAGCATGATCAAAAATCAGTTGTTATCACTGGATAATTGTACCTGGACAAGGATCCCATGATGCTGAACCTATACAAATATGAAAGAAAAAGATTATAGTCCAAGTGGTTTCCTGTTTTGATTAGTCAAATGTATGCATAACAGCAAGGAAAACGTTACGTAAGTGCCAAATAAAACTTAATTCTCTTCAGAATGGCAAGCTTCTCTCTCAAGTATGAGTAATAACAAATATCCTTTTTTTTTTATAGGAAGCCGTACTTACAATGCCTTCTGGAAGCATTGTGCCGACGTTCTGCATTTCTGCATGTGTGAGGGTGACTGGGGAGCGTACATCCACAGCGTGCCCTTGTTCCCAAGTTGGACAGCCCCCTCTCCAGCGCTGGAAGGAAAGTGTTTCTGTTTCCAAAGTAAGTACCATCCAAAAAGTTGGGTTTGGTTTAGCATTGAGGGTGGGCAGGTAGTAATGGCACCTGACCATTAGGCCCAAGAACACTCCTGAACTTAATTCATCCTCCATACGTTGCTGGCAGTTGGCACTAATTTTTAGTCCTTGCCAAAACACAGACTTGAGCTGCTGACCTAGTTTCAGCTGACCTTGAAATCAGCAGCCTGTGTGACCTTCAAGCAATTACATGACTCGGGTAGCTGGCTGTCCCGTCAGCCGGCTGCGGAGCTAAGGGCGCTTTCGTTATGCTCTGTTCAAGGGCTGCTGGTGGAACCGAATTATTCCCTGAGCCTTCCAGCTTGTCCGATCTCACAGACACTTTTTTTTTTATTATTTCTTATTATTTTATTTATCTTAAAGAACTGGCTGATACCTGGCAGGAACACGTGAAGATCTGTACCTGATACCAACAGTTACGGATTTATTCTTCTCAGAGCATTGGGGATTTTAATTATAGCCAAAGCCAGTGGTTTATATAGTCTGTAGTTTATTGTAAAACGTAGTGGCTCACTTTAATTGGTTACTGCACGCGATGCAGTCTGGTTTTGTGTCGTGTCCTCTCTGCTCAGTGTAAACCACCTGGTCTTTAGAGGCACCATGGAGTGAGGAGGGAGAGGGGACAAGGGCAGGTAAGGCTTGCAGGTAATGGCTGGCAAGGCACGGGCAAAGCAGAATGACAGAGAAAGTCGGGGTTCCTGTGGGAGGGGCAGGAGGTGAAGCAGGAGGAGAGGGGGAAGGCCAGGCAAGCGTGGGGAGGGGAGCAGAGCTGGTACTGTATTCCAGGGTTTGGTCTGGAGAGGAACGTCCGCGTCCCTCTTGCTTTTATTGTGTTGCAGAAATCTGACTCTGCAGTCCATATTGAGATTGTGCATCACTTAAGCCCTTTTATGGCCAAATGCTTTTAGAATTTGACAGGCACCAGCAGAAGAGCTGTTGTGGTGCAGGGATTTCAGAGTTTTGCTAAATCAAGAACTTCAGATCTTTGGGGTGGAAGGGGGAGTATTTGCCCTTGCACACAGAGTGTTTAAGTGTTGCAGTTGCTTCACTTACCATGTGTGACTTTAATTTTGAACCCCCATTTTTTTTCTCGGAGAATTCACGTACTTCTGTAGAGTTTCAGAGTAACTGGGGCAAAGGTGGAAGTGATGCAGACGCATCATCTAGTTGTAGATAAATTAAAGAGCGTTTTCGCAGAGAAATCACTTTAATCAGTTATCAGCTGAGACGCTGTAGAACTCGCAGTCATTAAATCATGGGACAGAAAGGCTCCACTGAGCTCTTAGTCCAGCATTTGCAAAGCATCTTGTCTGTGATGGGGACTCTGAGGGTGAGCAATTAACAGTAATAACATCAGATGACAAGTGGGCACAGCCGAGGAGAACGCAGAAACAGCGACACAGTTTCTCTAGCTCTAAGATCTGTATTGCCTTGAAAAATGTCTCCGAATAGAGGAGCGTGGCTTTACCTGCGGCGACGCAGAGGGGACAGCGCTATCTGCCGGACCTGCAGGAACGGTGCCGTTGCTTTCCAGGATTGCACAGCACCAGGCACGTTTCCCCTCCTGCCCACAGCACACCCTCACGGACAGACGGACAGACACACGTATGCACATCCCAGTTCTCCCTGTCCCCCTCTCCCCTTCCCCCCTCCCTGGAGATTTCTCCGTGTAATCTCTCCTGCCCTGTACAGTATTTGGCCGCTGGATGGAAGCCTACAATGACTCTAAATTTGTTTGGTTTTTTTTTCCTGGTCGTTTATTTGTTTAAAGTAGATGAAACAGCTACTAAAAGTAAGCAGACTGTAGCAGAACACCGAGCCAGGAGAAGGTGCCTGCTTAGATGGTGAAGTGCTAGCAAGGAATTCCCTTTGAAAAATGGGGGGGTTGAAGGAGAAAGTGACATTTTACAGACTCAGAGCTCTGTGTAACTTCTGCTATTTTATGCAGCACCTTTGAATTTGACCGGGGAGATGTTCCTCACTGTCAGAAGACAAAAGCCCTTTCAATTCTGTTATACTGAAGCTGTAAAACTGCTTCTCCTTTCTCTTGTGTGGTGTCTAATGTATTACGTACATGCTTGTTGTTTTAGATGAAAGATGATGACAGTTGTGCTACCAGGAGGAGAAGGTTGGAAACCCACAGATGGAAGGTGTAGAACGTAGCCAAAGACCAAAAAAAAAAAAAAAAAAAAGGTCTCTTTCGCTATGGGAGAATTGATTCTGCAAGACAACAAGTATATCCAACTAAACATCTCTGGTACAAAAACCTTCTCTTGGAATCCTTCGTATTTCCTGGACTCCTGTGAAAACAAACCACATTTGAGAGGTAGCCCAGAGCTTTCTTCTAGGGAACTTGGAAACGAACTTAAAGCTGTATGCCCGTGCTTAGTGACTGCTGGGAGGAGATTCAGCCTTGTTCACTGTTGAAGGAGAAAAGCAGCAGCTAGCACTTCAGTCCAGCCAAGGTAAGACAGCAACACTTGCTGAACAAGCTTTTCTTTACAAAAATGCAATCATTGCATGGTGCTAAAATAATTGATGCATTGGTATATTTTACTAGCAGCGAGCATTCGGAAATTAAATGAGCAAATGTGAATGAATATGTGTGGCAATCTGACACGCTAATGGGTTTTCATCCACTGCTGAAGTGAATGAGCTGAGGAGAGGCCTAAAAGCGTAGCTGTAAAAGTGCCACCTCATTAGCCTCCAGATTGGTAAAACAGCACTTCAGTTACAGCACACAAAGGCTTGCCTATGTGCGTATGCACTACTTGACTTTATTGGCATCGAGTCCCAGAAAACAGTATCCCAAAAGTACCTGGATCGATTCCAGGGCTTAGAATTTCCAGGATGCATACAATAACACACCTCTAAATATGGCTTGCATTAAAGGTCCGGAAAAAAAAAAATGTGTGTGTTTAGTTGCTGACCACAAAGTGTTAGCAATGTGCAGGAATGTAGCTTGGCGTTTTTCTTGGACACGGAGGGGAGAATTTTGAACCCAGCCTTCAGAGCACACCTGCTGTTCAGAGGGATCCAGGTCCCCAGACCCTGCCAGTCCTCTGCGCATGCACGGGCTTTGGCTTATGCAAGGCTGTTGTGCATTTGAGGAAGCATTTTTCTGACAGGGAGCACTGCTATGAAAAGCATTAAAGGCTTACAAACAGCTCAGGCAGTCTGCTTGCCAGGGCAGTTACTTCTTGTTCACAGAGGGGAGGACTCAAATATCCAGTCCTTCTCGTTCTTAGTCCTGAAAGGGAAGTGATTCTCAGAGCCATGGATAAATTAGAGGCATGTTGAACAGCCCGTGTTTTCTGTAAGCCATAAGGATGGCGAAGGGACTGTGCCTTAGGGGTCCTCAGTGAAAGCAGAAAGGGAGAGCAGCCGGCATTAGCGGGTCGAATATTGCCCATCCAAAACACAGGCCCTGGAAATCAGTTGGCCTCTTCCACAGGCATGAAGCAAGCTAAGCCAAGCTCAGGTAGCAGTCGTAAATCAAGACCACGCACAATAGTTGGTGGAAAGAGGTTCTGCAGCACGTGTGTGACAGAGAGGTTGTTCAGTATGGAGGAATCATAGGAGTATGTGCAGGGGGAAATAGATCTGGCAAAAAAATGATACGACGCAAATGCAGCCTGGTACTTGTGTAGAGAGAGCGTGAGATAGCACAGTGACTCTGCATACCTGCATCTTGAGAGCATTAATGGGGACCTACCTTCTTGAATGTGGGGGGTGAGAAGGGCATGAAGCTGGGGCTGGGTGCACCTGAACGCCACAGACCAGGTCCCCAGCACTGGGCACTGTGCATCAGCTGGAAATGCAGGTCTAGAGATGGAAAGATGTGTGAAGAGTATAGGTGGAGCGGTGTGTGTGATGGGATCCGGGTGCTGGAGCTGCCCGCGGTGTGTGCGATGGGATCCGGGTGCTGGAGTTCCCTGTGGTGTGTATGATGGGATCCGGGTGCTGGAGTTCCCTGTGGTGTGTATGATGGGATCCGGGTGCTGGAGTTCCCCGTGGTGTGTGTGATGGGATCCGGGTGCTGGAGTTCCCCGTGGTGTGTGAGATGGGATCTGGGTGCTGGAGTTCCCTGTGGTTTGTATGATGGGATCCCATCGTTGCCCGCAGTGTGTGCGATGGGGATCTGGATGTTGGCGAGTACGTGGAGAATGCATTTTAAAACTTGAGTGTGAAAAAGAGAAACCTGAATGAGCTTTTGTGACCCTCTAGGCACCCTGTAAAGGCAACTAGAGAAGTCTTCCCTTGCTATAGGTTTCTGTAGAATGGTTTTTAAAGTGTGTGGGAAGGATGCCTACATCTGTTAAATCCAACATTTTGAAATTGGGATACGTTATCCTGTGCACCTTTCCTGCAAACCATTACTGGTTTCATACCGGCCCGAGGCTGCGCCGCCGGAGCAGCAGTGAGCAAGTGCACGGGGTGCTCTCTTCCTCTTCGCTCTCTTCCTCTTCGCTCTCTTCCTCTTCGCTCTCTTCCTCTTCACGCTCTTGCTTCCAGCGCTCGTGCTCAGGGGGTTGCGCTGCTGCTCCTTGGCTGGAGCACAGCTCTGGTGGCCTCGAGGTTGTTGATTCTGGGGGTGGGGATGTGTTGGCTCCTGACAGTCAGGAGGGGCCGTGCGAGGAACAAGCTTTGCTGATGTTTAGCTGCTCAGTGAAGCCGACGTTTGCACTGAAGCGAGCTGGTGTGATTGCGGGTGGCAGAGGAAGCTGCCGAGATGGCTGTCACGGGGCGGCCAGGCAGGTTTGTGTTCCCACTCCCATAGCCTGGATCAGGGACCGTAAGAGGGAGGGATTAGTGCGGGCAGGGTGCTGACATTTTTATCTCCTCGTTTTGTTGTGCCTGAGCAAAAGTGCCAGCCTTCCCCCCCCCCCCCCTTTTTTTTTCCCCGTGAAGCATTAACTGGGTGGGTTGCCATAGCAACCCCCGCATGATAAGTTGGGCTGCTTCTTGCAGCATTCAAGATTTCTCTCTCTCTCAACATTCAGTTCCCTTCCCCGTTTCCTCTGGAGCGCCAAAATGGCCGAGAGCTTTGTGGTGCTGAGCACCCTGCACCCCAAGGGTTCCGCCTGTCCTCCAGCCTCTTCTCTGGAGGCATCGGGGCTGTGTTAGGGCAAGAAGGAGCAGCTGGGCATCCTTGCATGGGGTGGCGTCTGAAGAATACGGGCGCTCTGTCCCTGTCGCAGCACACCAGGGCTGAAAACTGAAACAGGCTTCCCATGGGGCATCCCGTTTATTCACAAGTTTTCCTAAAGAGGGCTGGGCAGTGCTTGTTACCTGTTCAAAACAGGCACATGGAGATGTTGGAGTGGTTCCCAGCTAAGCCCAGATCATAGCAAGAATGAGACTATCTTACCCTTTCTTCCTAAAAACATGCAGTATCCCAGAGTAGGTCCAGAGCAGTTTTTCTGTGTTTGTGTGTGGGAAGAAAACCAACACAGGTTCTGGACTGACTACACGTATTTATTTCAAATCCCCTTTGGTTTTGTCTGTAGTACATGAAGCATGCTCTAGGTGAAGAATAAACCTCTCCAGAGCTGGGGGAGAGGGTGTGATCTCCATTTGCTTCCCTGGCCTGTGGCTTTTTGTGTTACAATCCACCCAAACCCAAGCCCAGTTTCCCAGAGACTTTTTTTCACTTCTAGGCCCAAATTCCCTTCTTCAGATAGCAGCTAGAACACTGGCCTAACAGGAAGCACTTGAGGTCTGTACGTGAGAAATTCTGAGGGACGACTCGTTGCTTTTTTAGGATGTTTGTCACCGTAATTTAAAATTGGTTGGCAGGTGAGTTCTGGGGTGCCTGGGATCAGAGGAGAAAAAAGCTTCTCGTTCTACCTGGGGGAGCACCAGGGCACCAGGCGGCGGGGCTGTGCTACAGAAGGAGTCCATATCTGCTGACCAAATCAGCCTCGTGGAGCTGCCGCTTCCTCGCAAACCTCTCGGACCGCGCTCTCCTCCCTGGCAGGATTCTCCGACGGAGATGTAATTAGAGCAGCCGGCGCACAAACAGGACAGCTCTGCTGATCCGTGTTCTGGGTTTTCTGGCAGTGCACCTGACTTCCTGAGAACAGATGTGATTTCCACTGTACTTGGCGAAACAGGTGCTTGTCAAATGAGATACCCAGGGACATTGTCCAGTAGTTCCTGTGTCTATAAAAAAACCCCACCATCGGCACTCGCCCGCCACGCACAGGCTGGATTTAGGAGCAAATCCTGTGGCTGAGCCTGCCCTTCCTTTTGTTGAGTTGTGAATGTAGCCGGGGGCAATGGGAGAAAAGCAAATGGCTTCACGTAGGCGGTTACATCCTTCATCTCTGGGTATCGTGGCTGCCGTTTTGTCTCCCTGGGAGAAAAGTCAGATTTTTGTGATTTGGATATTCACGATGGATGGCTTCTAAGGGGGGGAATTGGAAGCGTGTTGCTGGCGTCTGCAGGCCGCTGACTTGCAAGCTCTTGGTCTCCACAGTCACGCCTGGCTCCTGGGGATGCATTAAATAGGTGTTTCCTTTCATTAGCCTGCTGGTAGGAGAGCACGGTAACCCAAAGAAGCCTGGGAGCAAGCGGGGGCAGCGAGTGAGACCTGATGGCCAGCAGGTAGGGACTGTCGTGCCTTGGGTCAGTCCCTGCCATAATACTTCAGGGCTGCAAAGGTTTCAGGGGTCACAGCCAGACGTGGGTTGGAACGGGGCAGAATAACCTGTCCAGTCAGTAAAATGAAGCAGAACAAGGAATGAGGCAGATGTCCTTAGCTAGGAATTTCAGTTCCTAAAGGGGGCCTATAGGAAAGATGGGGAAAATCTTTTTAGTAGGGCCAGCTGTGACAGGACAAGGGGAAATGGTTTTAAACTAAACCAGGGTAGGTTTAGACTAGATATAAGAAGAAATTCTTTACAGTGAGGGTGGTGAAACACTGGAACACCCAGAGAGGGGGTGGAGGCCCCATCCCTGGGAACATTCCAGGCCAGGTTGGACGGGGCTGTGAGCAACCTGATGTGGTTAAAGGTGTCCCTGCTCCTGCAGGGGGGTTGGGCTGGGTGACCTCTAGGGGTCCCTTCCCACCCAAAACACTCTATGATTCTATGATTCTCTGAATTACTTGGAGTTGTAACAGTAGGCTGCGCAGGGTGACGTGGAGGCAGTTGCTCTGTACGTGGCTATTGGCAGATGATGAATGCGGCTTGCTGATACGAACGCGATGAGATGATGTCTAGGAAAAGCCCTGGCCGTCTTTGTTCTGTGTCTGCTTCGCTCGAGCAGTGTAGGGGCCAGACTGCACGCGGGGGCCCTCACCAGCAACCCCCCGGTGCCAGGCAGCGCCGGGAGGCCGCAGGGCTGTGCCCGGCTGCCGATCCGTGCATGGCCGAAGGGCTCAAAGCTGATGCTTTCTATGGCTGCAGGTTTCCCTGTTTGGGTGGGTCTCGCCGTCTGCGCTCCGAGTTTTGGCACGGGGAGTTGCTCACGTGTTGTTCCCTGATGGGGTTGGATGGGTTTAACTCAATAGACCGTGCTGTTTATTGAGCTGACATCGGAGCAGATGCTTTGAAAAGGGGGAGCACATTTAATGAGCACTTCATTTTTCCCTCTCTGTCCACTGTGACCTTCAAAGCTGGAGAAGCCCTTCGGGGCACGGTGGCCCCTGTCCAAGAGGAGAAAGCCCAGCCTGCTGCTGGCATTAAACTCCTGGGAATCAGACTGGAACATGAGCAGAGAGGATTTCCCAGTATTTCCAACTGTGACCTTCAGAGCCGTGCAAATGTTAGTATTAAACTCTTTAGAGGCGGAGGCCTTTCGGTGACCCCGCGTGGGTAGCTGTGTCCCCCCCGCGTGGGTAGCTGTCCCCCCCCCG